GAGCCCCCACTGCCCCCCTCTGCGCCCCCCCTTCCCCCTGATTGACACACAGCAGGACAAACACCGTTTCTCTTAACCGTCTGCACTGTGTGGCCTTGGCCGCTGCCTTTACCAACTGGCTGTTTGCAACCGAAATCGCAGGTTTGCGAACCCCAGGAAAAGCGCTGCCCCGCGTTCCAGGCGGGGGGAGGGAAGGAGCCTGTCTTGGTAATTAAAGAAGGAGAGCGAGCCTGTTTTGCCCAGAATAGGGATAGGAGTAGGTTGGGGTAAGAAAAGGAGAGGCGGGCTTTTCCTGTTTTTAATATTTGAGGGAAGAAGCCTCCCTTGCGTTTTGGCATCCCCTTGCTGACATCGCTGTTTGTTAACCGGGCTCATCCAGTATTAACACTATGAGGAAGTTTATATAGAACGTAGAGGGGGTTTAAACTCAGCTATTAACCCGGGAGACTGGTACTTTGCACCTTGATTTTGCAAGACCTCGGCTTCTCAAACATCGTTAAGGAGCTTCGCAGAGGAAGCCTCCCTTGCGTTTTGGCATCCCCTTGCTGACATCGCTGTTTGTTAACCGGGCTCATCCAGTATTAACACTATGAGGAAGTTTATATAGAACGTAGAGGGGGTTTAAACTCAGCTATTAACCCGGGAGACTGGTACTTTGCACCTTGATTTTGCAAGACCTCGGCTTCTCAAACATCGTTAAGGAGCTTCGCAGAGTAATTGCTAGGAAGTTAAGGTCAGTAAACCCGCCTGTTTACTGAGCAGGGGTTCCTCACCCAAGCTCAGGGTGTGCCCGGGGCAAGGGGCATGACCTCCGTAATTATGTGCTATGATCACAGTTCTCTGCAGAGAAGTCTGCACCTTGTGTTAGATTCTTCAAGCGGCCAGTGACCCCAAGATAGAGTTCGGAGCTGCTGGTATAGAGGTGGCCACGAAGCAAAACCATATTTAAAAACACGGGGATGGTGGAGAGGAAATTTGGATACATATGCTTTATTTCAGTGTGTGCCACGGGTGAGGTAACCGACTCCCTGCTTTCCTAGGCCGGGTGATAGCCACTTTCTCCTGCTCCGGAGAAAAGGAGGTCAATTTGGCTGTTGAAGATGCAAAGGCTGCCTTCAAAATATGGCGTCAGAAGTCGGGCCTGGAGCGAGGCCGGATCCTCCTGGAGGCCGCCAGGATCATCAGGGTGTGTTTCCCTTTCTCCCCTTCCGGGAGAGCCGGCTGTCCTTGCTCCGAGGGAGCTGCCGGGTGGTGTGCGGCGGACTTTGGGACACTGTCAGGTTACGACTAGTTTATGAAACCGGAGAGCGTTTCCACCTGCTCACCTGGGTGTGTGTGTGCAACAGCCTTCGTGCACGAGTTCCCGTCGGGAGCTCGGCTCTCTGTGCTGACTCCCGGGATGGGTTTCTTTTCCATGTTTGTTTGAATTACAACATATGCTTTGTAGCTTGTCTCTTTTCTTTTTTTCTGGTAATTTTTTTAAAAAGAGAGAGAGGAAGGGGAGGAGGGGTGCGACATTGATTTGTTGTTCCACTTACTTATGCATTCATTGGTTGAATCTTGTATGTGCCCTGACCTGTGATCGAACCCCCAACTTTGGCATATCGGGGACACCGCTCTAACCCACTGAGCTTTTTCCTCTGATGACTCTTAAGTCCACCCTTTTTCAGATTTATTTTTACCTTAATTTCCTGGGAATATTTCATAGATTCATACATGTTCCCCTCTTCAAAAACAGTTAAACTTTTTTATAGTTTTACAAAAGCAACCGTGCTAGATGCTTGTTACAGTTTTGATAACACAATGCTCTTTCTTTTATGTTCAGGTATTGACCCTACTGTTTATTTTAAATTGGATTCATAATAGAAAATAGCTTTCTCTTACATATTCAGTCCTGTCTTCTTTGGGAGGGGAGAAAGGCATTCTTTAGATTTTCTTTTTAGGTATAATTTTCCAATTCTTTCCATTCATCCCTGAGCATCTCCAGCATTTTTAAGTTGCGGCTACAACTGGAACAAGTGTTTGAAAAGAGAATTAGTGAGTTCTGAGCATTAGAAAATAACACTGCATTTCTTCTTCTTTTTATATATAATCTTTTTCCAGATGAGAGAGAATCATTGATCGGCTGCCTCCTGCACACCTCACACTGGTGATTGAGGCCCAACCACGGGCATGTCCCTTGACCAGGAATCAAACCATGACCTCCTGGTTCATAGGTCAATGCTCAACCACTGAACTACACTAGCCAGGCAATGCTGCATTTCTTTTGGAGAATTAAAGCCTCATGTGCATATAACCTCTTCATTGTCAAGTATGTAGTTGGCTATTTTGCATAACTTCCCTAAGGACTGTTCTCTCCTGTATACATACAAACATATACATATGTATTCACACATGTATGCAGATGTAATATTCACTTTTTGGAGCATTCTTTTTCTAAATGATCTTGAAATGGGGTATTAGTCTTGGATGGGAGAACAGGGCTGCTGTTTAGCAATAAGCTTTTTTTTGTATTGTTAATCCTCATCTGAGGATAAATTTTTCCATGATTTTTAGAGAGAGTGGAAGGGAGAGGGAGAGACAGAGAGAGAAACATAGATGTGAGAGAGACACATCGATTAGTTGCCTTCCACACACGCTCTGATTGGGGCTGGGGATCAAGCCTGCAACCAAGGCACCTGCCCTTGACCAGAATTGAACCCAGGATCCTCACTCCTCGGGCTGATGCTCTATCCACTGAGCCAAACTGGCTAGGGCTCAGCAATAAGCTTTTATCTCTCTTGCCGGTGTAAGACTGCCATTCCTTTTCATGTAAGTAAAAGTTGTTTCACCCGGGCCAGTATGGCTCAGTTGGTTAAGCGTCGTCCCGTCCACCCAGATGTCACCAGTTTGATTCTCGGTGAGGGCCCAGGCCCAGGTTTTCGGCTCAGTCCTCAGTAGGGGGCATGTAGGAGACAGTGATTGATGTTTCTCTCTCACTGATGTTTCTGTCTCTCCCTCGTGCTCTAAAATCAATAAAAACATTAAAAAAAATTGGAGTGGTTGCGTCTGTGAAACCTGCGTAAATGTAACGTTACAAAAAAAAGATGTTTTTATTTTTCAAAACTGGGCCGTGTATTTTGTGTGAGTGTTGACTGCTGTGGTGTATGGTAACGTGTCTTAAATCTAGTCTCTGCCGCCCACAGGAACGGACGGATGAGATCGCCACCGTGGAGAGCATCAACAACGGCAAGTCCATCTTGGAGGCCCGCCTGGACATCGACACCTCCTGGCAGTGCCTGGAGTACTACGCGGGCCTGGCGGGGTCCATGGCCGGTAAGCCCTCCTGGCCGGCCTTCCTCCATCAGCTGCGGGAGGGAGAGGGCAGAGCCGAGGTGAAGGGCAAAGACTTCGGGGTGAGACCGGCCTGGGTCTCCTCCCTTCATGCCACCTAAGTCGTCTGCTGGGTGCCCAGTGCGCCTCAGAGGAGGAAGTGAAGGGGGTGATCGTGGGTTGAATGTGGATGCTATGTGTCGAGGAGGTGCAGGAGCAGAGTAGTGACAAGAGTGGACAGAGTGCGGGGGGGAGGGGGCACCGCGTGCTGCGAGCAGCCCGGAGGCAGGTGGAGCCCTAGGTAGCACAGGTGTTGGTGAGGCCTGGGGGCCAGCAGACCTCCTCCTCTGCTCTGTCTTCCCCTTAGGCGAGCATATCCAGCTCCCAGGCGGGTCCTTCGGTTACACCCGACGAGAGCCGCTGGGCGTGTGCGTGGGCATAGGAGCCTGGAACTACCCCTTTCAGATCGCCTCCTGGAAGTCGGCCCCCGCGTTAGCTTGTGGTAAGAAAGAGTTCTCCTCCGCTGAGAGTAGGGTCCGATTCTCGGCCTCTCCCCTCACCTGTGCGCGCACACACTCACATACCCACACATGCACACACACACACACACACTCACTCATACTCACACACACACACACAAACACACACTCACTAGCACACACACACACACTTTTACACATACACACACTTTTACACATACACACTCACACATACATACACCCCCCCACACGCGTGCGCGCGCGCACACACACACACGCACTCATATGCACATGCACACTCATAACACTCACATGCACTCTCACACTCACATACACACACATTCACACACACTCACACACACTTACACTCACACACACACACTCACACTCACACACACTTCCCATCACGAGGGCCATGCTGGGCATGAGGCCTCAGAGGGCACGTGTCCATTCCCGCCTAGCCCGGAGGGAGTCTGCAGTGTAGTGACGCACACAGATCGTGTCTAAGTAGTTCCTATTTGTATTCATTTCATTTATTTCTGTTTATGGAAGGAAGAAAGTTTTGGTCTTAGAGGTCTTTTTTTTTTTTAATATATTTTATTGATTTTTTGTAGAGAGGAAGGGAGAGAGAGAGAGTTAGAAACATCGATGAGAGAGAAACATCGATCAGCTGCCTCCTGCACATCTCCTACTGGGGATGTGCCCGCAACCAAGGTACATGCCCTTGACCGGAATCGAACCAGGGACCTTTCAGTCCGCAGGCTGATGCTCTATCTACTGAGCCACACCGGTTTTGGCAGAGGTCTTGTTTTTTACTGTCAGATTGGATTAGATTTGTGTTCCCTGTAAGTTTTCTTCCTTTCTGGTCATGAATTTCTGTGAAGGGGAGCACTTAGGAATCTGACTTAAGAAGCAGAAGATTGTTGCCGAAACCGGTTTGGCTCAGTAGATAGAGCGTCAGCCTGCGGACTGAAAGGTCCCAGGTTCGATTCCGGTCAAGGGCATGTACCTTGGTTGCGGGCACATCCCCAGTAGGGGGTGTGCAGGAGGCAGCTGATCGATGTTTCTCTCTCATCGATGTTTCTAACTCTCTATCTCTCTCCCTTCCTCTCTGTAAAAAATCAATAAAATATATTTTAAAAAAAAAGCAGAAGATTGCTTGGCTGGCGTGGATCAGTGGTTAGAGCATCAGCTTGCGGACCAAAGTGTCCCGGGTTGAAATTCCAGTCAAGGGCACATACCTTGGTTGTGGATTGATCCCTGGCCCTGATTGGGGCGTGTTTGGGAGGCAGCCAATCAATGTGCCTCTCACACCGATGTTTCTCTCCCTCTCTCTCTCTCAACCCCGTCTTTCCCCTTTCTCTCCTCCCATCCTTCCTCCCTTCCACTCAATGGAAAAAATGTCCTCCCGTGAGGATTTTTTAAAAATTAAAAAAACAAAAACTTAAAAAAAAAAGGAAGCAGAAGATAAACTTCCTCCTCCGTTTGTGTTAAGAGAAATGACACCCAAGGCTCCCATCACAGCAGCTCTGGCTGACGAACTTGAGACGTCTCCTCCTCCTGTTTACAGGGGGGGGGGGGGGGGGGGGGCGGGGGAGAAGGCTCTCAGAACAGCTGTGAGGTGGGGAGGGACGCGTGTGGCAGCGCAGCTGCTTGCTTGTTGCCCGCCGAGTTCTTCGCTCACCGAGGGACGGAGGAGGAATAGGAGGAGGAGTAGATGCCGTCCCTGGCTTTGGGGACTCGTCAGGGTCGTTAACCTTTCTCAGGTCTCAACTTGTCAAAGGGACTGAGCCTACCTGCTTCTTTCGATGGTGCAGGTGCCAGATGATGGACACGCAGCCTGGGACTGGTGACTGACACGCGGGGGGTGTGTTCTGGTTAATGAGTGAGACCTGGGGGCAGGGCGAGATCCTGTCCTGAGGGAATCCCCCACTGAGTCCTGTTTTGGGGCTTGCGCAGGAAACGCCATGGTCTTCAAGCCGTCCCCCTTCACGCCCGTGACTGCGCTGCTGCTGGCCGAGATCTACACGGAGGCAGGGGCGCCTCCTGGCCTCTTCAATGTGGTGCAAGGGGGGGGCGCCACGGGCCAGCTTCTGTGTCAGCATCGCGACGTGGCCAAGGTCTCCTTCACTGGGAGTGTGCCCACTGGCACCAAGGTGAGACCAAGGTCAGGTTGAGGCGATGGCATCTAGCTGTGGGTGTCAGCCCACCCGAGCCTGCTCGTGCCGGGAGGGAGGCCGTGGGTGTCACCCACATGGGTCTGACGGGGACTTCAAACGTGTGAAGGGGGCGGGGAGTGCACTCGGGCGGACGGGCGCCATCAGCCCCAGTGCCGCGGGCAGGCCCGGGTCCACCTGGGCAGTTGGATGCCTTCACTCAGCTGCAGCCCCCTCGGCAGGAAGGTGCTTCTCGGTCCATTTCACCTTCATTGTTCTGACCTTGATCTGCGCTCGGAGCTGTCAGCCTGAGCACAGTAACAGTGACACAGAGCGTTCCTGCCCGTGGCAGCCGGGTTCGGGGACAGCATTTTTAAGGTGAACTCCCTCCTGAGAGTGTCGGGTGCGCCTCTGGCTTCTCCGGAGCCTGGAGAGGAATGTCATGGGACGGGGCAGGGCGTGTGCGGAGAGCAAGGCTGCAGAGGCCGCTGCCTTGGAGGTCGGGGCCTGTCACCTAGCGTGGACTCCCTTGTCAGACCTCTGATGGTGGTCTTTCTCGTTCCCCAAGATCATGGAGGCGGCGGCGAAAGGAATCAAACCCGTCACTTTGGAACTCGGAGGCAAGTCTCCCCTGATCATCTTCGCCGACTGCAACCTGGAGAACGCGGTGAAGGGGGCGCTGATGGCCAACTTCCTCACGCAGGGCGAGGTGCGTGCCTGCCCCTGGGGGAGGCTGGAAGGCGTCCCCACGCCTGCATCGAACAGCATGTTTTAAAGAGGTGTTGTATTTGGAAATAATTTCAGACTTAGAGGAGAGTTGTACAGATAGTACAAAGAATTCACACGTTCCTTTGAGCCAGGCTCCTCAAATGTCCACATTTCATTGTTTATTTAAAACAATTTTTATATGTTTTTATTGACTTCAGGGAGAGGAGGGGAGAGGGAGAGAGAGAGAGAAACATCAGTGATAACAGAGAACCATGGATCAGCCCCCTCCTGCATGCCCCACACTGGGGATCAAGCCTGCAACCTGGGCACGCACCCTGACTGGCAATCGATCTGAGAAAACCAGAAGGAATTCCTCAGCTAGGAAACTAAAATATATCTTAAGCTACCCAAGAAGAGTTACACGTGCTTAAGAAGTAACCAGACACCCAATCCAGTCAGCCTCAGAGCCTCTCTGTGTCACCAAGTAGATTCAAGAAAGAGTTAAGTTTTTCTCAAATGCCATCTCAAGAGTCTAGGACAGTGATGGTGAACCTTTTGAGCTCGGTGTGTCAGCTTTTTGAAAAACCCTAACTTAACTCTGGTGCCGTGTCACATATAGAAATTTTTTGATATTTGCAACCATAGTAAAACAAAGATTTATATTTTTGATATTTATTTTATATATTTAAATGCCATTTAACAAAGGAAAATCAACCAAAAAAATGAGTTCGCGTGTCATAGGTTCGCCATCACTGTCCTAGTTCATAGGTTGACACTCACCCACTGAGCCACGCCGCCGGGACGTCCTTCTGCGCCCTTCAGCTCACTTTCTGCTGTGAGGAAGCGCTTTCCTGGCCTCGTTTTCATTCACTCATTGCTGTCGGCGTGGACCCACGCATCCCACGTCCTCCTGTGCGTTACACCCATTATTTAGTTTCATGCTCAAATGATTGCCACTCAGCAGGCGGGACCCTCTCTTGACCTTCTGATACGTCTTCATGGTCCTCTGAGCACTTGACCTCCTGGCACAGCAGGTGTTCTGGACTCGCGCTCTTCCCCTGGCCGAGCTCCGCAGCCAGCCTTGCTTCGGGGGTCCTGGGCCCGTTCAGTGGTAAATGGGGTTTAGAAACCATGATCTGGGTGCCAGGCAGACTCCTTACTGGGTGCCACTGCCTCCAGACCCTCCCGGAGGCCAGAGCTGGGAATGGATGTGGGCACCTGTGTGTGTACTTTTATGCAGCCCACACACACGTGCACGCACACATGTATTTCTGCAGGTATCTGTGTTAATGACCACAAGTTCATAGAGATCTTTCCAGTCATTCCAATCCTGCAGGGTTGTGCTCGCCTTCGCCCTTCCATGTTTATAGCTCTCTCCTCTGCTGAGAGGTTGGGCGCCCATTCCCCACAGTCTGTCTGTGTGACTGAGTCCTAGCATGCGTTTGTAGTAGTTGCAGATTTGGGAAAAGTCAGTCTTCCAGCAGGAGTTCCTACTTTTTCACAGCTCTTGTCGTTGGCCTGAGGGTATAGTTAAAACTGAAAGTTCATTGGGCGGTTCTTCCTTCTCCCGCCCGAGTTTTCCTTCCTGTGTTTCTTTTCGCACAAGTGAACAGGTGCTGGTAGGTTGCTATTCCCCTTCTTTCTCGGGCACGTGTAGAAGTTGGCATCTCAGAGGTACTTCCTTTCTCTTTGCCTCTAACATCCGGGGTCGCTCCCTTTCACCCGTGGAACTGGCTCTTCTCCGTGTGTTAGTAGCTGCCCTCCCGTAATCCTTGTGCGCTGGTAGCATCTGAGCGGTCTTGACATTCATGTCTATGGGAGAGTCTAAATCAGTGGTTCTCATGAGGCCCCCTTGGCTGCACATTAGAATCACCTGGGAATCTTTTTAAAATCCTGATTTCGGGGCCTCCCTCGCCGATAGGGGTGGGAGCCAGGAGCAGTGGGAGGAGCGATCGGAGGAGCGATTGCTACCGCGAAGAGTGTGGTGGCTGGGACTGTGGTGAAAGCAGATGGAGCAGGGAGAATAGACTCTAGTCCGTGTGTTAGTAGCTGCCCTCCCGTAATCCTTGTGCGCTGGTAGCATCTGAGCGGTCTTGACATTCATGTCTATGGGAGAGTCTAAATCAGTGGTTCTCATGAGGCCCAGAAATCAGGATTTTAAAAAGATTCCCAGGTGATTCTAATGTGCAGCCAAGGCTGAGAACCACTGGTCTAAATACTCATTATTTGTGATTCCGGAGACAAGCATTGACTATGAAATGCTCTGGGTGTTTATTAGGCTTGAGCCCTGGTTCTTAACTGTTTTTACTGTCCCCTCCCATTCTTACCTCTTACTCTTAAATATGCAGCCCAGTCGAGCAGCTGATGTGAGCAGACAGGAGAGGGTCTGGGGTCCTCTGGTCTGTTAACGGCCTTAAGAAAATTTAAACAAACACAAGAAGATGTAAGTATCTCAGGGTCAAACAGCTTGTGCTGCAGGTGTGATGTGTCCACAGTTACACTAAAGTGGCTCCTCCTTAGTAGGGGGAGCTTTGATAAATGGAACGGACCTTTACAAAGGTGTAGTGTGTTCTTTTTAAGCTTTAACATGGGATTTTTTTCCCTTTTCCTATTTTCTTCTTTGCACGCTGATACATTTTTGTCTCTTTTTCAGGTTTGCTGTAATGGCACAAGAGTGTTTGTGCAAAAGGAGATTCTTGATAAATTCACAGAGCAAGTGGTGCAACAGACCCAGAGGATAAAAATTGGAGACCCCCTTCTGGAAGGCACCAGGATGGGCCCCCTCATCAACCGGCCACACCTGGAGCGAGTCCTCGGGTTTGTGAAAGGGGCCAAGGAGCAGGTGAGGAAAGGGGCGGGGGGCTGGGCCGGGACCCGGCGAGGGGAGGGCAGTTCCTCCCACCACCGGGCGCAGGGCCCTTCCTGAGGCCGGACCCCCTCCTATAGCTCTCGGGGTCTGGGCCAGGGTCCTGCTCTGTCCTTGCGATGGAGCGACTGAGTCCGTTTGTCTAGGACTGCACGTGGGGGTCGCACGTGTAACGGAAAGTATGCATCTGTTTTCCTTTTTGGCAGGGGGCTAAGGTGTTGTGTGGGGGAGACCCTTACGTACCTGAAGATCCCAAGCTAAAGGATGGATATTTCATGAGACCGTGTGTTTTGGGTATGTGCTCTTCTTGTTTGCTTTTAAACTGTTTTAATGAAATAGCAGATGGAAGAGAGTTTCTGTACAGCATGTGTAAGGTGGCAAGCGAGGGTTGGCAAATGGCGTGTCCCCACCACTCGGATTTCGGAAGTGGGAGTTCTCCGTTACCGTCACAGCCCGTGCGCCTGCCCCGGGGCGAGCAGGTGTGCTCGGCCACCGGGACTCACTGGGTCTCCCCCGTTGTTCCGGAAGCGGAGCTCGAGAGGAAAGTGCACATTGATAAAAAGTACTGAATTTCATTTGTCAGGAAAGGCGGTCAGGAATGCATCTTGCTTTGAACTATACGGCATCCATACCGTAAAACCAATTTGTCAGACAGTATGGTAGCATTTATAAAAGTTGTCTTTTAAGGATTCTTAGCACCTTTCAATCTAAAAACCTCCCGGTCTGGGCAGTCAGGTATAAGGTTATCCTACTTCCTCGGCCAGTTACCTCCGTCCTCGCTCAGGGTGACCCTGCCCTGGAGGTCGCTGTCCTCCTGCCTGGTAGTGTCCCCTGGGAGCTTTAGCAAACCACCTGCAGGTTGGAGTATGTTATGTGATCCTTGCAGCTTATCCTGAGGGAGACCCGGGCTGGGTTTGTCCCCCAGGCCGAGGTGGTGTCAGGTTCCCCACCTGTGTTCCTTGCACTAACCTGGGCCCTCGCCCAGGAAGGTCTGCGTCTCAGAGCTGCGACCTGACGTTCGTACCGGGGATTCTCCGGTGGCTGCTAAGTGAACAGGAACAGTTGGCGCCTTTTAGATAAAACATATAGTTGACCCCGTATGTGCATGGAACAGGGAGGAGCAGAGTCACCTCATAGTGTAACAGCGGCTTCTCTGGATGCCGGGGCGGAAGGCGGTTTCTGTTATGCTGTGTGCATTGCTGAGTATTGCAGATTTTAGGTATTTATTTATTTAATCCTCACCTGAGGATGTTTTTCCATTGAATTTTTTTTTTAAAGAGAGAGTGAGAGGGAGGGGGGAGGAAGAGATAGAAACATCGATGTGAGGGAGACACATCCATCAACTGCCCCCTGCACACGCCCTGCCCAACTGGGCATTGAACCTACAGCCCAGTTACATGTCCTTGACTGGGGATTGAACCCATGACCCTTCAGTGCACGGCCCGATGTTTAACCACTGAGCAACACCAGCCAGGGCTGAGTATCACAGATCTTAATTTTTCATTTACTTAATATTGGGGACTAAAGTCGAGTGAGTCACGTTTCGGGCAGGAGCCTTTTCTTTTCTTGTATGTCAGCTGCTCCTTATCCCTCCTCTCTTCCGACTGAACCCAGAGCTCGCCGCGCACGGAGCCGCTCTGTGGTCCCAGCCTGCATCAGATCATAATTGTCTTCTGGAACTGTTGAGTAGTAACATTTTGGCTAATGGTTTCCCTAAAAATCACACGTGGATGACTAGTTTTCAAAGAGTTAGAACATAGTAAATCACACTTAAACGCCATCTAAAGATGATTTAATCCTTAAGTATTCATACGCTCTAATCCACATCTTAAGAGACATAGACGAGTCGTCTTTGTAGATGTGTGAACAGCTGGTTATAGACTTTGGTTCCTATTGAGCTGGTGTTGGCAGGAGGTTCTCAGGCTGTTCTCTGGCCTCCACGCTGCTCACATCATAACACGGCCTTGTAAGGCACACGTCTCCCTTCGTGCCGTGCTGCTGTGTCAAGGTGTCTGGCCTCAGGGACAGGGCAGGAGGCACCGCTCTCTCCAGAATCACCGGGCTCAGTATTCGATGTGTAAATAAGTGCGCTTCTCTACATATGCATGTTGTGAAATGTCAAGTGTGAATTACATCATTTTAAAGAATGGCCTCTTGCCCAGCCAGTGTTGCTCAGTGGTTAAGCTTTGACCTAGGAATCTAGAGGTTCGATTCCCGGTCAGGGCACATGCCTGGGTTGCAGGCTCAGTCCCCAGTTGGGGGTGTGCAGGAGGCAGCCAATCAATGATTCTCTCTCTCATTGATGTTTCTATCTCTCTCTCCCTTCCTCTCTCTCTAAAAATCAATAAAAAGATTAAAAAAAATAAAAAGAATTGGCCTATTAAAGGAACTTAAATACATTTTCATATCAAGTAAACACCCCATTGGTTATTTCTAAGGTTATGTTTTTATAGTGGAACTTTCTTTTTTGTATCTAATTCTATCACAGAGTCACTAAGAAAATGTGGGAAGGTATAAAAGACAATCATATATGTAACATTTAACAGAAATTGGGACAGTCCCCTTAACATTTGTATCTTTTTCAGTGAATGGTGTTTATTTTTAATATTTTTTTAATTGATTTCAGAGGGAGAGGAAAACATCAATGATGAGAGAGAATCATTGATCAGCTGCCTCCTGCATCCCCCTGTCCCACCCCCGACCCCTATTGGGGATTGAGCCCACAATCCGGACATGTGCCCTGACTGGGAATCGAACTGTGACCTCCTGGTTCATGGGTTGGTGCTCAACCACTGAGCCACACTGGCCGGGCCTCCGTGAACGTTCTTTCATGAGCATTCGCTTAGTAAATTCCTTTAGAAACGTTACTTCGAGAAGCTTGGAGACGTGGGTCACGCGGCCCTGTCCTCTGCCTGGATGCCGTTTTGTGGGCTAGTCGTCGCTGCTGTAAGTGGTGACGTCCCTGTGTGCCTGCTGGTCACTCGTCAGGGTCTCTTGTGATGAACTGAAGCGTGGAGCTAGTTACACCGAGGCTGTGACTGAACACACACTGTCACGTTGCCACCCCATGGGAGCGCCCTCTGGAGCCTCTCAGGCTGTGTGTGGACGAGCACGTTTTGGGGGTCGGAGCAGCGGTTCCCCACGGCATCCTGTCTCCCGCTGCTCGCAGGTAACTGCAGGGATGACATGACCTGCGTGAAGGAAGAGATCTTCGGGCCCGTTATGTCCATTCTGTCGTTTGACACCGAAGCAGAGGTTCTGGAAAGAGCCAACAATACCGCTTTTGGACTAGCCGCCGGCGTCTTCACCAGGTACGTGGGGAAGGTCCCCCCGCTGGCTCTAGGGAGGGGTGGAGGGGTGGCTGTCTGCTCAGATGGGGCCTGCTCTGGCTCCCCTGCGGGTCTGCCCCCTGCGTTTCCTCAGCGTTTCCTGTAAAGTCAGAAGATGCCCAGTAGCATTGTGTAGTTTGCCCTCAGTGGCCACCGTCCTGCTCCTGAGCTTGAATTGAGCTGTAAACTTGGTTGATGAAAATGCTACCCTTCTTTATTGGTTTATGGAGTTAGTATTTAGCGCTGGCCCCAGGGTCCCAAAGCATGAGTGTCCACGTGCAGGACTTTGGAAACCTGCCGTTGTAGGGCTGGGCCGCGCTCCAGAACGTGGGTGCAGGCTGCCAGCGCCTCCTGCTGGGGACGCACTGCAGCACGGGGAGCCGTTTGGTTGGCGCGCATTTGGGTCTTCCCAGGCTTTGCCGCTGTGAGCAGGGCTCTGACCCATGTCCTTCTGTGTGAGCTTCAGCCACCGCAGTGAGTAAGAGGTGGTTTGGAAGCAGTGTCTCTGCTTGACGATACGCAAACTCTGCATAGTTGTTGGGAGTTATAGGCAGTTTTTTTTTCTTTTCTGTTTTATTTAAAGGGGCTCTAATGAGAAATCCTTTTAAAAAATTTTTATTTTATTTATTAATTTTTTTTTATTGATTTCGGAGAGGAAGGCAGAGGGGGAGAGAGACAGAAACATCAATGATGAAAGAGAGTCATTGGCTGCCTCCTGCATGCCCCACACTGGGGATCAGGCACGCCCCCTGGGCATGTGCCTTGACCGGGAATCGAACCCAGGACCATTCAGTCGCAGGCCAGTGCTCTATCCACTGAGCCAAACCCAGGGCTATTTATTGATTTTAGAGAGAGGAACGAGGGAGGGGGGAGTGGGAGAGAGGGAGAGAGCAAGATCTGTGTGAAAGTGAAACATGGATTGGTTGCCTCCAGTATCCGCCCTGATGAGGGATTGAATCCACATCCTAGGTGTGTGTCCTGACCAGGAATTGAGCTGCACCGTATGGTGTACGGAAGGATGCTCCAGCCACCAGAGCCATACCGGCCAGGGCTTAGGCAGTTTTCTAAGACTGCTTCACACTTGGGATTTTTCTGTTGCTTTAGTGATAGACAAGGTTCCATTTTTTTTCACTTTGTGGCCCGAACTTGGGAAGGAAGACACGTCTCCCTGATGACCTGATGTAATGGCTCTGCTTGAGCTCCGAGGAGAGGCTCAGGCACTGCTTCTTTAAAAAACAAACAGCCCTGGCGGTAGCTCAGCTGGTTAGAGCATGGTCCCGATACACCAAGGTTGCAGGTTCAATCCCTGGGCAGGGCACATACAAGAATGAACCAGTGAATGCATAAATAAGTGGAACAGCAAATTGATGCTTCTCTCTCTCTATCTCTCCCTCCACCTTCCTCTCTCTAAAATCAATCAATAAATTAAAAAAAAAACGACCAAAACAAATAACAGCCCTGGCTGGTTTTGCTTAGTGGATAGAGCGTCTTCGGCGTGTGGAGTAAAGGGTTTCGGGTTCGATTCCGGTCAGGGGCACCTGCCTTGGTTGCAGGCTCCTCCCCGGCCCGGGACCTGGATGGGGTGCATGTGGGAGGCAACCAATCAATGTGTTTCTCTCACATCGATGTTTCTCTCTCTCTTTCCCTCCCTGTCACTCTCTCTACAAATCAGTGGAAAAATATCCTCGGGTGAGGATTAACCAAAACCAAAACAAACAAAAAACTCAAATAAAAACTTCAGTTTTCAGGGTAATTTTAGGTTTACCATGATAGTGAGAAAGTACAGGATTTCCCGTCCCCCACATGCACAGCTTCCTTAATATCTGCCCCCTACAGACTGTCCATTCGTTATGACGAACCTGTGTGATGTGTCCTCACCCCAAGCCCAGTTTACACTGGGGCTCCCTCTCGGCGGCGTCTTCTGTGGGTTTGGACAAAGGGCAGTGACCGGGACCCCCCCTGGGGAGGCACATCGAGCAGCGCCCCTGTCCTGACGGCGGCGTGAGCAGCTGCGCTGTGACTGCATCGAGGGGCTGTCTCGTGCTGCGGCCACGGTACAGGCAAAGGAGCCACGCCTACGCCTTTACCGGCTCGATGGGGATCACTCACGGGCTGAGCAGCTCACCCACGTAAAATGCACACCTGGGTGCTCTCAGTGTGTTCACAGAGCCGTGCAGCGTCACCAGAGCCTAACGTCAGGAGGTTTCCATCAGCTCAGGACAGGGAGGCGAGCTTGTTGTCCCCGCCCCCAGCCCGCAGGTCTCCTGCCTGTCTCCGGACTTGCTTGCTCTGAATGTTTTCTATAAATGGGACCACATGCCTTTAGCTTTCACTGACTTCATGTTTCCAGGGGTCTCCCTGCTGTAGCAGGTGTCGGCCCTGCTCCTCCCCACTCCCCAGGAATTGCCCGTGCGGGTCTCTTCCACATCGTGTCACGTTGGTGGGCATGTGGTGCCCACACTTGTGGCTGCTGTGAGCGGTGGTGAGCGTCTGTGTGTGATGGTGGGGCTCCAGGTTAAGCCATGTCTTCCCTGCAGGGACCTCCAGCGCGCTCACCGCGTGGTGGCCGAGCTGCAGGCCGGCGTGTGCTTCATCAACAACTACAACGTCAGCCCCGTGGAGCTGCCCTTCGGCGGCTATAAGAAGTCAGGTGAGAGCTGGGTAGGCAGGCCACCAGGTCTCCAGGGGGGCTGTCGTCATTAGTCCTTGTTGACCAGGGTCCCAACCTGTTGGCATCGTCACCGCTCAGAACAGGGGTGCATCTCGGGAAGGTCTGTCATGTGGGGAGAGTTCCTTTTCCTCGCAGCTGTGAGCGCCGTATTATGGCCACCACAGGGCTGGCCGACATAGGAACCGGGAAGGTCTGTCATGTGGGGAGAGTTCCTTTTCCTCGCGGCTGTGAGCGCCGTATTATGGCCACCACGCTGGCCGACATAGGAACCAGGTGCGTGCCGATGAAGCGGTGGGTGTTAATCTGACAGTTTGATTTGGTCTCTCCCTGGCGTTCCCGAATCACAGTCCCCTAGTCATCCCCGTCCCTCCGGGGACCAGCCGAGCGGGGCACCGGCCAAGAGCAGAGCCGGAACGGGGCCGTTTGGTTACTGTGTAACCGTCAGTGCAGCGGAAGTTGGTTTGTGACCTGCGGCTTTGGAGTGGTGCCCACGGGATGAGGGAGAGACGGAGGAGGGCCAGCTGTGCTCAGGAGTAGCAGGGGGCCTCTGTCACCTCTGAATGGTGCCCCCTGGAGACGTGCACTTTTGGGGACTGGGCCCTGCCCTTAGGAGGCGAGCCTACCTGTCTGGGGCAGGGTGACAGGAAAGGCCAAGCAGGGGACGTGCCCTTCCGCACGGAGCCTGGTCCTGGCTGTGGGCAGGGTCTCGGCCTTGCTGGCCCGGCCACTCCCCACGCCGCTCGCAGCTGGCGTTCCCGGGGGAGGGCTTTCTCTCTTAAACGTGTTGCTTCCGTGTTCCTCCGCAGGCCTGAGGGCAGTGCCTGTCTCCGCGGTCACTGTGACCTTTCAGACGTGCCGTGAGGGCTCATCGTCACCCCTTGTCGTCCTTGCAGGGTTTGGCAGAGAGAACGGCCGGGTGACCATTGAGCATTATTCACAGCTGAAGACGGTGTGTGTGGAGATGGGTGACGTGGAGTCCGCTTTCTGAAAGGCGGCCGTGAACCCCGTGGACGTGCCAGGGTGAGCCCGTGAGACCGGAGGAGGCCTCACGGCACCGATGCGTCCCGGACGCGGTCGCATGGGTCCGCGCCTGGCTCAGCGTCACTCTCGTCACTCAGGCATCTTCCCTAAGGCTTGCACAAGTGCCTTGGTTCTAATGGAGAAGCAGTGAGTTCCCGCAGCGGGGACTCAGTGCCATCCTGAACCGCCAAACCCCTCCTGGAGACGGACCAGCGCTGTGCCTCCGACCCCTGCCCTCTGCTCTCTCGCTTGCCTGGAAGAAGGTGTTCCTTTTAGGTTCCGTGGACCCACGGCAGGTGCTGTTGGCTCCGGGCTGCCTTAAGCTCTGGCTCCTTGTCATTCTACTGAAAGCTGACGATTGGGAAGGGAGGGGACTAGGTACTGGGCGGGTCAGCGGTGAACGGTAACTGCAGAGAAAGGTTTTGTTTCTGCGGGGCTGCGGGAAAGGACACGTCCTCTGCTTTGAACTGCAGCTTGCTGTCTGGACGTAGTGGTTCCCCATTAAATGTACAAATTATTTGCACGTGTCCTAGAGCCAAATAAATCACACTGTTCATCCTTCCAGTGTCGTGTTTTGAAACGAAACAACTCTCAAGGTCACTTAGGACACGGGATGGGCTGACGTGAGATGCATGTAACAGCTCCTAGGCCCTGTGAGCCTCGAGGCTCTGGGTGCCTCCCACCCTGGAGAGCTGTCAGGTCCTGGTGACCTCAGGCTGCGGGGTCCTCTTGGCCGAGACCTGCACGGCTAGGGTTCAGGACCTGAGGGAGGGGCCGGCGCACAAATGAAAATGCTATACAAGAAATAGGAATTTAGAAGGCATGGGGGCCAGGTGGAGCCTCTTTCTTGAAGAGGCACTGACTTTCTGGCCTGGTCCGCCTTTTATTCACTTGAATACACATTTGCCCTTTAGCAATGCCTACGGGCAGATCAAAGGTAAAGTTTGGTAAACAGTAAAAGGATTATCTGGTTAGGGAATTGCCTTGAGCCATTGAGCCCACAGCAGGGCAATATTAGGCTGATTTTCAGCCCTGCTGAATATCGAAGTCATTGGCCTTCCAATGTTTTCTTTATGCATTAATGTGCTAACTGCTGTTGTCTTTAGCCTCCGACACCTCTACCTTTCAGGGGAATGGCTACCAGCTACCAGCTGTATTAGGGCTTCCCAGAGAAACAGAACCAGTGGGTTAGTTCCATCGACTTGTGTAAGAGGAGGTGACTGTAGGAAGGGCTCGCGTGACTGGAGGCCGAGAGGGCCCGGCACCTGCCGCCTGCAGGTTGGACCGGGAAGCTGGTGGTGTAGGTCAGTGCGAGTCCCGGGCTGAGAGCAGGAGGGGATGGGGTAAGTCAGGCTGAGCCGACAACTGGAGCTGATGTCACAGGTGGAGGTGGGTGGCCCAGCGCAGGCAGACCGCGAGCTCGCCCTCTGCACGGACTGGACTGGGCGCTGGGGAGGACCCTCTGCTTACCTAGGCCGCCAATTCAGACACTTATCTCGTCTGGAAACACCTCCCAGACACACCTGGAAATCGTGTTTCACCAGCCACCTGGCATCCCTGAGCCCAGTCAGGCCAACATAGTCAGGCTGACACGGAGAATTAGCCCTCAGGACAGACAGCTAGCCTAGCAGCCAGAGGCCTGCGTGTGCGTATGAGCTCTGATGGCAGGTGCGTGCCTAGAGGATGGGACCCGGGGATCAGCCCCTCGGTGTTTGCACAGCGGGCACATGGGGTGCAGGGCACGGCCAGCAGAACGGTCTCACCGTGTCTGGGGGACCCCGTGTGGCTTACACAGGCGGAGCTGCCTGGCATGACAAGTGAGCAGGGGGAGGGGCCGACGTCTGAACTCACTGTGTTCCCGCTGCTGCACCTCCCATTCAGCGCTCACTCCTGGGAGAGGGGCGCTCACTCCTGGGAGGGGGGCGATCCTGCGCAGGCTGGTCGAGAGGATCAGGACGAAAGGAGCAGGACAAGGCCAGCGCGTGATCTGATTTGCACCTCCCGCTCCCCTTCCCCATCCCTAGACTGAACTCAGTGGATTAGTTTCCTACGACTCCTCTTCACGTTTCCACTCACATCCATGATCTCCCAGCTCTGGGGTCGACGTTGGAAATGGCTTCAGGGGCACAGCCAGGGTGTTGGTGCCACGCTCCCCCCGAGGCTCTGGAGGTCATGGGCTCCCTCGCCCCCTCCAGCCCTCAGTAACTCCTTGCCTCGCTTGGCTCCCGGCCTCCTCTCTTCACAGCCCGCAGCTGAGCATCCTCCGTCCTCTCTGCTCCGACTGCCTTCCTCTTCCAGGGACCCTGTGATTGGGGCCCATCCAGACGGTCCCTATCTCTCCTCTCAGGATCCTTGCTTGTCTTTGCAAGGTCTCTGCCACGTATGGGGACATGCACAGGTTCTGGGGACGAGACTTGGCCACACGGGGGGAGCATTACTCAGCCGGCCACACAGCACGGTGTGTTCCGGGGGGCTGTCCGCTGTCCTGTTTGACAGATTTCCCTGAACAGACACCTTGTGGTTGAGGAAACACCTTCCGAGAGGAGTGACTCACGCCCACGGGCCCCACCAAGGAAACACGGGCTGATCCTGGAGCCGCCCCCTCTCACCTGGAGAGTTTGTGGGATGAGGCCCCATTTCCCCGGAGTATTTTTTTCTTCTATTACTTTGATTTCCTTTTGAGAGTCAACACCTTGCTGACTGGTCACGAGACAACTCACGTCTGCACTTACATTAAGTAATTTCAAGGCCTGAAAGCAATGCGTAGTTTTAAAATTACTTAAATTAATGTGAGTGCAGACTCAAGTTTTCTCATGACCGGTCAGCAACGTTTGACACGGAAACACGAGTTGTCTTGTGAGCGGGCAGCACGGTGAGAAGCAGAGGCCTCCTCCCTCCGCAGCGGACCTCACCCTGAGGGAGCTGCTTCTCCTGGGATCGTGTTGGAGGGAATAACTGCCAACTAACCCAGGACTGGGATGAGGCCACGTGCAAATGGGTCCGACTCGGGGCCAGGAGATGCATTGTAAGTTGTCTTTGGTTGGCGGATTCCTGGGCTGGAGGTGTTTTCAGAGGGTGTTTGGGGGATTGTATTAATGCAGGAAAGAAACAAATGCCTCATGTTGGCACCCTCCTTGCCAGCGCGGAGGGCCCTGATCTTATGTGGCTCTTCAGGGACCTGCAGATGGAGAGGGGCGGCTCTCCCTGGGCAGAGGTCGCCGCCGGCCCCTCCCCGGCTGCCCTTCACTTCCGGCCCGTGGGCCTCTGGCGGCCCCAGCAAGGGTCTGGCAGAATGCGTGCCCAGGTCTCGGGACCTGCAGATGGAGAGGGGCGGCTCTCCCTGGGCACAGGTCGCCGCCGGCCCCTCCCCGCTGCCCTTCACTTCCGGCCTGTGGGCCTCTGGCGGCCCCAGCAAGGGTCTGGCAGAGAAGGCGCAGCTGCGTCCTCCCGCTTCTCCCAAAGCAGAACCCAGCGGCCTCTGACCCTGGTGCTGAGCTGGGCTCTCCCTGGAATAACACGATTCCTTGGCTTTCCTTCTAGCCAAGCCCTCTCTTTGTTTTTCTTTTCAGGGTGTGTGTGTGTGTGTGTGTGTGTGTGTGTGTGTGTGTGTGTCCGCAAAGGGCATAAAGGAGACCAGGCATCCGCTGGGTCACAGCACTGTGAAAACTAGCAGAGATCAGGTCTGCGGGAGCGGGAGTGGTCTTTCCAAGTAAGTCAGAATTCACCACGCCCATGGCGGTTAGAGGAAGATCTAGACTCCTGCGGGCCCCAAAGAGCCGGAACTGCCTGTCCCTGGGCTCAGAGGGGACTCGGGCCTGTGATGGACTGAAGGGCTGGGGGACAGGCCCCTCAGTGGCCCAGGGACCTGTGGAGCCGCAGCGCCCGCCACAGACCTAGGGCTCAGAAGCTGCATTTTAGCAGATGACTCCGTGATGTTTGTTCACCAGGCTTGTGGAACCAGGGTTTCAACTTCCGCCACACGTTAGAATGGCCAGAGAAGCCGTAAAACCACTGAGGTCTGACTTAGCTGGTCTGGGGGGGAGAAAGAGAAACATCTATTGGTTGCCTCTGTACTCATCCCAACCGAGGACCAAACCCAAAACCTAGCCCTGACTGGGTATCGAACCATCAAACCCTCAGTGCACAGGACGATTCTCAACCACATGAGCCCTCTGCCTGCCTTCAGTAGAGATTCTGAAGAATTCTCATTGTTATCCTACGTAGCTGTAATCTCAGATCCTAACCAGAGCCTAACTGCCTTGACCATCTGATCATTAAGCTCTCTGTGTCCACAGTATCCCACCACGTACAGCACGGACCCTGAAAATGGGCACCTCTTCAACTGCACCCTTCCTCTCTGAGCCCAGTTTTCACAGCTGCCAAGGGTGCCAGCAGGGGGCAGGGGCTGGGGGCAGGAGTAGGAGCAGGCCGCTTATTTACATAAAGACTCAACAGGAAATAAGTCACAGAGTCAGGGTTACTTAGGAGGCTGGTGCCAGATAAATTTTATTATATTGAGAAAAAAAAAAGTAACTGGAAATAAAAGTAAGTCATTCAAAATGAATGAGAGTTTTTAACACCCTGCCTACCCTTAATGGCAGCACTTGGACCCACCGCCCAAGCCGGTTTTAACCCAACCGAGGTGCTGGAAGGCAGAGCACACAGTGGTGCCCATCAGGCCGAGGAGGGCGATGGAGCCCAGGGCCCCCCTGCTCCGCTTGCTGGGCTCTGGAAGAGAAGGGGGAGAAGGAGGAGAAGTTACGGGCAGCTCCACAGGGACGCCGTCAGCGTCCGCGAGCCCTGCCCTCCAGGCGGCAGACCACCTGGTCAGAGAGGTCAGCCCCCCTTCCGCCACGCCAGGCGTCACGCCAGGGCTGCGTGGGCCTCAGGAAGTTACAGGACAGTCATGGGAACTGCGAGGCCCGGACCTGGCCGTGCCTCCCTCTCCTTTAAAGACGCAAGGGCAGCAGGAGCCCTCTCCCCTCTGTCTACCGGCGCCCAGGTGTGAGGAGCAGGGCCCGGAGTCACACTGCCTGGCTCCGAGTCCTGGCTTATAGTTTCCACCCAGTAGCTCTGTGACGTAGAGAGAGCCTTCATCTTTCTAAGCCTCAGTTTCCCCATCTGTGAAAGAAGATGCTATTACCTACATCACAGAATTGTCGGAAGTTTTGAAATAGCGAGATGCAAAGTTCTTAGAGCAGCAATGGACACAGAAAATGCTCGATAAAGGTAAGTTTTGTTACTATTCAAAGGTGAGTAAGAAGAAAGACGGTAACGGACCTTTCACCTAAACCTCCAGTTCCACCCTTTCCTTAAAGCGTCCTGCTAAGAAGGGAGACGTAGCAGCCTCAGGTTTGCACTCTGCTTCCCTGGCGGGAGTCTGGGTGGCCTTACCTCCTGTGTAGTAGCCATAGGCATAGAGAACTCGTCCCACGATCCAGGCCAAGCCCAAGCCCGAAACGACTCGCTAAAGAAAGGGGGGGCGGGGAGAGACATGTTAGTGTTTGCATTCAAGGAATAGGCAGAGCTGTAAGCTGTATTAACATTGTTGACCGCACAATG